GTTGGACGCTTAGATAGTAGAACAGAAAATATCAGAGATGTCAGATACTCGCATCTGATGTCTCGGTTGGAGAAAGTATAAGAATATAAAAAAATCAATCGATTTTCACCATCTTTAGACAATGGTTTACTTTTAACCATTTTTCAATAGTTTACAGAACGAAATCAATAATTTTGAAACATTCAACAAATTGCTAGAAATATTTCCAATCGATTGATGCCATTATCTCGTAAATCTATCGAGAGACGGTTGAGTTATTATCGTTCAAAATCTTTTAATTTTTCGTAACTCATCCAAAATGACTGTTTTCAATTTTGTACCCCCGTATGTTGCCGAAAGACGTTATCCAACGTCAAAATAAACAGGTAGCGCAATCCTTCACGTGTTCATTAGATGGACAGCTACTCACCTTCTCAGAAGTCTGCGTTGAATACGGTGACGAAAGGTTTCCGCTGCACAGTTGAAGTCGAAAAACTCGTAAAACTCGTTGAAACGCCCAGACATGAACCGTATTGGGTCATGCAAGCTGTAGTTCGCAGCACGAGGTCCAAGATGTAGGAAACTCCTCGACCGAAGAACTCGTTCGGGTGCGTAGATTTCGAATTCAGCCAAGATTCCTGGAGAGTCGATATCACCAATAAGTATTTTCGCTGCGAACACGGCCTGACTAATCGTCCGCCTATGTTCTAGTGTTTCAAGACCCAGGAGTTGACAACGATCTTCGTACGGCGGAAGGTTCACAGGGTCATTCCAAGGAAGGTGACGAAAGGCATACCGAACAAATTTCCTTTGAACAGATTCAATCCTCGCTATACAAACTGCTTGATATGGGCACCATACTACCGAGCTGAATTCCAATTCATTCTCCTTTCGCAAACGGAGCGCTCGATGGACCAGTGACTTTGGACGTGAGCCTCGTTCCAGAACACCATGGCAATTCAATAACATATGGTGGACATCAAACCGACCAAAAAAGGCGGAATCATATTAGAACCAACCAACCAAGGACGGTCTACGGAAGGAAATTGCCGGTGAAGCACGGAATGAAATACGAAGTGTTAGAGAAAAAGTCCAAGGGATTCCAAAAGAAGCAAATAACGACGGCGGAAGAGCAAAATATGGTGAGAGCTTTCCATTTATTAAAAAAAAAAAAAAATATCAAAATTACACTAAATACATGCCAGGGTTGAAAAGAATATTTTCGAACCTGGAAGTGTGTATGTATCACCAATATCCATTTGATAACGGTGATGCATACATGCGGGGCTTATTGTGAGTGAAAGTAACCTCGGAATGGGCGTGACTCTCCAGACATTCTGAAATGGGTTGCTGGATCTGCAATAGAGCTATCACCTTCTAACTCCCGGACTAAAGCTGTCTACAATGACCATAAATGCGACATTGTAGAGAGAGTTCTTCCATAATAACACTGCCGGCCAGTGGGGGTTAGAGGGAATACACACACACACATACTACCGAGCTGAATTCCAAGATCGATCGCACTAGAGAGCAGTATAGAGCGCAGTATAGACAGGCAGGATCGCGAAACACGTCAGCGATCTTGAAAATGAACCCGAGTTGCCTGTTAGCTTTCGCAACGATGCCCGAATAATGAAGCTTGAATGTTAAGTCGCAGTCCAGCGTGATTCCTAGGTCACGAACATTGTCCACACGTTGCAGAAGTTGGTGATTTATCGTATAGTTGAATGCCACTGGTTTCAGCTTGCGATGAAATGAGATAATATTACATTTTTGTACATTCAACGTGAGATAGTTTCTTGAGCACCACTCTTCGAAAGTATCGATTACGTGCTGAAGCCGCAAGCAATCGGCGAAGCTACGAACAATCACATAGATCTTCACATCATCCGCGTAGAACGATCGGCAACCAGTTGGGAGGATCAGTCCGGCCTCATTCACAAAAATCGAGAATAGCAATGGTCCCAAGTTGCTACCTTGAGGAACACCGGAGCTGTTTGTAAAATAGTGTGATTGCTCTGATCCGATTCTAATACAAAGTTCCCGATTGGTCAGATATGACTTGAACCAACGAGTTAAACCCGAGGATACACCGAGTTTTTCAAGTTTAGCTAGCAGTATGGAGTGGTCAACCCGGTCGAATGCAGCCTTAAGATCTGTATATACAACGTCCACCTGCGCTCCAGCTTCCATACTCCGAAGACATAAAGAAATGAACGGAGCTAGATTTGTTGAAACTGATCTCTTGGGATATAAAACCGTGTTGGTCAGGAGAAATGTAATTTCTGCAGCTAGAGAATAATGCGTCGTTGATGATGATTTCAAAAACTTTAGAGCAGACACTGAGTGATGTGATCCCTCGGTAATTTTCGACGTTTCTCTTGTCTCCTTTCTTGTAGATCGGGAACATGAATGACGATTTCCAACGCGTAGGGAACTCCCCCTTCTGTAATGAAATATTGAACAGCTTCAAAAGCGGTGTTGTAAGCTCTGAACAGCATCGCTTCAGGATGCTTGAGGGGATCCCGTCAGGGCCAGCAGCATTAGAAAATTTCAGCTTCTTGATGGCGGATTCGACGTGGGAGTGTCCCTCACCGCTTCAGGAACTTGGGACAACGAAGCCGTAGTGTCATTGAAAATGCTTTTGAAATTTTCTGCCAGAAGATTACATTTCTCAAGGGAATTGCTGGCAATTCTATCACCCAGGTGAATTTCGACTGGTAGCCCCTCCTCGTTTCGTTTGGTATTCACGAATGACCAGAACTGCTTTGGACTAAGCCGTAAATTAGCCTGCACACGCCTTGTGTAGCTCTTGTAAAGAATGCGGTTATATGTGCGATATTCGTTGCTCGCTGTTGAGAATAATCGTTTGGTGAATGGGTTACAAGTACGACAGTATTTACGGTGGGCCTTCGATCTCAGACGCTTCAAATTCCGTAGTCGAGCATTGGACCATGTGGGTTTGGGAGAAGGTCTCCTCCATGGGACAGAATTAGTTATTGCCCGGCCAACGACCTCAGCGAAGTAGTTGACGGCTTCATCAATAGATGAACACGTGTCAAGGAACTGCCAATCTGCCTGGGCATGCGAGTGACTCAACAGGGGGGTTATCGTAGCGAACAGGAACAGATAGGTTGATGGAAACTTCCAACGCAGGATGATTGGTGTCGATGCCAATCAAAGGTTCTGGGGCTTCTAGGATAGAACATTCCAGTCCTGCAGCTTCGTTCGTCAGAACGAGATCAAGCAGCCGAGAGTTGCTATTGAGTATCGAGTTGATTTGCGTTAAGCCATGCAGGTTGAAACCATCAAGGAGAGCACAGCAGGATGCGGGCATGTTCGAGCGAGAACATCAATGCTAGGAAGATCGTTTGCATGAACGTTCCATGAGAGCCCACACTGATTGTAGTCACCAAATACCAGAGCTAGGTCGTTTTGTTCTAGTCGAGAGAATACGGTACCAATCGAACTGATGTGGTTTGCAATGCTGCTCGAATCATATTTCCGGTCTGGAGGTAGATACATAGCGCCAATACTTATGGATCTACGAGGCGTCGTTATTTTGACCCACAGCTGCTCTAGAGAAGTGCAAACTGGAGCAGGATCGATGCAGAAGCTTAGGCGTTTGGATACCGCAATCAAGACGCCACCCCCACGCGATTTGGTACTATTCTGGTGGTTGCGGTCGTTGAATATACTGCCAAATAATTGAGATGAATTAATGCGGTCATCGAGCCAGGTTTCCGTAAGAACTATGACATCGTAGTCAGAGTCAACGGCAGTCAGGAAAGGGACCATCGAGTTGTAGAATTATCGATTTATAGAACTCATCACAACACAAACCTGTCAATTTAGCAGCGCAGCCTACTTTGATTTCTCATATTTTACGCACAGTCTGACATTTGTTTATGAATTTTACCATAGTAGTAAACAGCTACAGAGTTGCCGTCAACGCCAATAGTAAATCATTTAATAACTGAACCCAAACAGTACAGCTAGAAACGAACTTCTTCTCTTATTCTTCGCATTTCAAGCATATTGCTTATCACATATTAGCTTATTGCGTACGCTCAACTTAGTATTCTAAATGCACTTCCACAGTTACTAATTGAAAGCTTTTTTGAAGCCGGCGTCGGTGGTGTAGTGGTAAGCGTGACTGCTTTCTCACCCCAATGGGTCTGGGTTCAATCCCAGCCGAGGTCGGTGGGATTTTTCTGAGCATAAACATCTCTGGTCACGTCTTCCTTCGGAAGGGAAGCAAAGCTCATGTGTGTTGAATGGGTGCGATATCCTACGCAGGTGTGGAAGCTGCCTTTCTGCATATTCGATTGCCGTCAATGGATGGCAATCGATGTCCGTTGGTGATTGGAACTAGATTGCGGAACAGAGACTGACGTTAAATAAAGGAAAGAACTAATTGAGAGCTTTCTATGTCTATACCATTTTTGCATTAGTATCATTCTAGATAGAGATGAAATTACGTTGTAACAGCCTTTGTAAACAATGACTTCGCTCGATGATTTCTAGGAACTCAAGGCAAACGCAAACTAACATAACTGTCGGCTAGGGGAAGCCTTGCCCTACCCGATGGTGATATTGATTTTCGTTGGCGAGCCTTAACTTTCTAGAAATCATCGAACCAAGTCATTGTTTACAAAAGCTGTTACGCACTAATTCCAGCTCTAGAATTGTGTGGGCAAGTACAATCATACTCTATGTCCAGGAAAGTCGAGAAATGTTCCAACTCGAAAAATTCCTAGACCTAACCGGGAATCGAACCCAGCCACCTCCTCAGCCTGGTCTTGCTTTGTAGCTGCACCTTTACCGACTGAGATAAGGGAGGTTCCTTAGAAACGAACTGTTACAAATCATGAATAGATGTGACGTAACAGCATAGTTATATGGATAATTGTTTAGCTTAGACTTTCCACACTATTCATTAGTTCACTAAAGTTCTCGGAAAGGGTTCATCCCGTTAAAAAAGTTGAAAAAAACTCAGATGTTTGATGTTTGCTCCACAGAGAACGCAGCAAATCCGTCATCAACGAAGAGATCTCGGGCTTCTACCAAAGCAGCATGAGCAGCAACCAAAGTGGCCGAAATTATCCACTGCGACGGCAGAGCGCCATTTCCGACTTCAAGCCGAAGGTTTCCAAGTGGACCAAAGTGAAGGCGGCCTTCAAGTGGGAGAAGACCAGTGCGCTGCCCGCGAATGAGATCAAAACCTCCGAGGCGACGATGGTTCCGGTGAACAACGAAGTGGCACGGTAAGATTTGATATTCGTATACATATTTTGCGGACTTTAGATGTTTAAATTTAACGAAGTTGCAGCTACCTTCGGGTACCGTCAGTTCCGTGTGTGGGCAGTTCTGGCGATTCGGTGTTTAGTTCGTCGTCGGGGATCGTCGTCAGCGGTGGTTCCGCACCGGGAACCCCCGGGGAAAACAGTTTAGCCAGTTCCGCCGAGGACCTCGCCGATATGATGGACGAAGCTCGAAGTGAGTACTTTCTTAGTTTAGATGTTTACTGGATTGTGCGGATGGGAATTTGCGTTCTGGAATGTTTTCACCACGGAATGAAAGTACCGATCTGGTCAGTGTGTTTGGACAGTAAATCATATTTTCCAAGTATTTCAATCGAGTGAGCTCGTAAAAGTGTTTGTTATTTCAACGTCGCATCTGCACTCTGTTGGTCGGATTTCGCTGGAAAAAATGTGCCAGGCACATTAGGCATAGGAATTCCCGGACACGAATCAGAAGAGATGTTCCAACTTTCCAAACAATGAGATTCCAGGGTGCACTTAAAATAGAAGCCCCTTGATGGGCGCGGCATGAGCAATTGGAACCGCTTGCGTTTTGGCAGATGTGTGCTGTTTTTTTGAGCAATTGCAAGCAGACCGAAGGAGTTTCATCAATAAACAGAAGCTGTTGTGTGATTTTTTTTTTCGGTGGAATGGGAATTTTGTTTTATCAAAAAAGGCATATATTTTAATTTCGCAAAATGCCACTGGATATGATGGGATATTTGTACAGCAAAAGATAGCTCTTTTAATTCCTCAGGATTTTTCATATATTTTAATGTGTATACTGGAAATGGTACTGCTTAATTCCAAGAATGGATTTAAGGAACGATATTAGCTTTCAAATGAAGATGGTTTTGTAAAAATCGATTAACATTTCACATATTCACGACCATGCCATAATTCTTTGGATTGAAAAATAGGGTAAAATGCTTATTTAAACTACCCGAAAATAATTCGTACCGTGAGCAACACCCTAGGCATTCGAGTTCTTATCAAAAAAACTGTCTTTTGATGTATAAATATCCCATCATATCCTGCGAAATTTTGAGATATTGAACTAAATGCTTTTTGTGGAAAAAAATTCCATTGTGCCAATTGGTTTGCGATCAAAAGAGACATCCGTGGGGAATTTGGTGCTCGAAATTCTCGGCGTTAACCTTTAAATGCAATTTTGTCTCGACGACACCCGGGACGAAAGGTTCTTATCAACGTCATCACTCGCTGCGTTGCGTAAAATGCGGAACGCATTTCAACGAGTAGGAGATTGCCTTTTCACCCGGTAATAGAGTTGTATACCTTAAAGTTTTTACTAGCTCACTTTGATCGTGGTGAGTGGAATATCACACCTTGTCGGTTGTAATCATTGACCTAGAATGATGGTTTTTTTTTCGCATGCTGACGTACGTCCATCATATGTTTAGTCTCGAAAAGTTTCCCTCCTCGCGTCTTTGCACTATATCGCCGGCTATCCCACGTCCGTCCGTGGAATGTAACCGAATCAGATGATGCGTCTTGCAACGGTGTTATTTTTAGTCATAGACACACGAGCAAACGAAAGGAAGATCAGCGCGGTGTCGTTGGCCAACAAACCCACCAAAGTTCGCATCTTCACACTTGCATAATTTATGCTGAATCACCAGCAACGCACGCACCAATCCAACATCAACCGGGAGAAACGCTATCCAGAGATGTGATGTGCAATCTCTCTCTATCTCTCTTTCTCTAAACAGCAGGCTAGAAATTTTATGTTCGAAATTTAAGACCCATGGCATACTTATGCTGTGTGTGTGTGTGTGTGCAACATCTTCTGCGCTTACTAGATCAACCGGTTAATGGTACCGAATGCCAAAATGCAGCTTAAATCTTTCAAATGGTGCATTCCAAGCTGTCACTGCCTCCCTTCTGGATTCGATCGAGGCGAAAAAGACAGATGGACGTTTCCGGCTGCACTAATTGGCGCAAATTTGATTGAAGGTACGAGGCGCCAGGTAGATTGTTTGTGCTTTTCGCTTTTCACACATCATTTCCAGCGCTGCTCCCGCCCTAGTCCCCAATAATTCTCGCCTCCCTCCCCCTGTAAAATAAATTTCAAGCGAGCGTGCAAGGCAACCAATATGGATCGACAATAAATGTCTGGATAATTTTACCACCTCAAACGATTGGGATTACAAAGGCTAAAATCGCGCAGAAAACCCGATGAGGATCGGTGTTTACTAAATAATATCGCGTTTTATAAATTGCACTCTGTGGTTTCTCGAGGTTAGATTTCGCACGTTTCCGAAATATGTGGGGTGCTTTGCGTAATCGATGGATGTGTTCATCTAAATTTAATTAACTTTGCTTCAGATTTCGAACTTTTGCTCTATCAATGTGATGATATTGAAGCAATCTCAGGAGCCGTTCGCATGAAAAGCATGTAACGGAATTTTTATAGTCTACTACGATGACAAATGGTGGTACGTTCGTTCCAATTTAACGGTACTTGAAAATGAACACCCCAACCCATTCTCCTGGCTTCCACAGAGAATGCCGAGTACTTAAACAAATTTTAGCCTTACCCTGCCGCTCTTGTCGTAGTTTCCCGCGCGGAAATCAACCTTTACTCCACACCCCACACCGCCGGCACCGAGACGCGTCTACGGGAATATCGAGTGTGTGAAAATATGTTATGACATAATCGCTTTATTTTTAAATCAACTTCTTTTCGTTGCTCGCACTCTCTTTCTCTCTTTTGGTCTCTTTCGCACACTCTGTTGTGTGCCCCTTCCCATAGGTTAGTAAGGGAAAAGGAGGGGTCGGGTGGGGGGTGGGTACCCCCACTCGGTCGCTGGGGGCAGAAGCAGGCGACGACACGATGGATGGGAGCAGCGAGAGTTTTCTCCCGACGCAGAGCAATAACATTTTGCCGCATTGCATATACATACCTAGGTCTACTAGATTGCGCACCGACCGGTCTCAGTGGAATGATACATCACCATGACTGGATCGAAGACACCGATGGATGATTGATTTGGGACAATGGGTGTTTGGGGTGTTTCGAGACGGCCGTGTTAGCTTGGGAAAACACGTTTTTTTTTTTATGTAATTCAAAATTCGGTTCACAATTTTTTGACGACTTAACTCCTCGGTACATCCTCTATAAAACCGGGTTTTTGTTGGCCATGTATAACTTTTTTTTAAAACAAAAATAGTTGCTGAGAATTCAACTCAGTGTAGCCAGATATACCGATTTATCGGTATTTATACCGAATTTTAAGATCGATACCGATATACCGATAAAGTTCCTCAGAATAACAATTTTTAAAAAGATTGGATTCACTCAGTATATTGATTTTTTACTTTTTCCCCAGGAAAACATGAGGCACATTTACTCATTGCTGAGTTCCTGCACTTTCTGCGATTACGAGTAAACTTTACTCAAATTTGGATCGTTCTCATTCGCCGTGTAGACTGCTATACACTGTTCAAAGAAAATAAAATCCCTCTCTTCGGTAGTTCGCTAAACTTCTCTTCGGAGGTTTTCTGAACTTCTCGTCGGTGGTGTGGTACTCTTTCGTCAGAAGTTCTCTAAACATCTCGTCGGAACTTCTCTAATCTTCTCTTCAAAAATTTGTTGAACTCGTTTTTTTTTTATTTTTTTGTCAAAAGTCTCAAAATTTCTCCTGAGAAGTTCTCTGAACTTCCTCGGAAGTTCTCTTAACCTATCCTCACAAGTGCTCTGAAATTCCTCAAATTTCTAGTTGGAAGCTTTTTGAATTTCTCATCGGAAAATCTCTGAACCTAAGAGATGAACTAGCCAATGGCTAAAAATCTCTATAATAAAGGAAAAAAAAAATCTCTGAACCTATCTATCTCCAAAAGATCTCTGAAGTTCTTGTCGAAAGTTCGCTGAACTTCTATCCGTAAGTTCTATGAATTTATAGTGCGATGTTCTCTGAATTCTTGTTGGAAGTTCTCAGAACTTCAGGAGTTCACGGAATCTTCTGATAAGTTCAGAGAACTTCCGACGAAAAGTTCAAAGAATTTCCAAGAAGTTTCAGAGAATTTCCGACTAGATGTTCAGAAACCTTCTTTGAGATTCTCTGCGGAAGTTCTCTGAACTTCCTCTCGGAAGTTTTCTGAACTTCTTCTCGGAAAATCTCTGAACTTCTCGTCAGAATTTCTCTGAACCTCTCCTTGGAAATTCTTTGAAATTTTCGTCGGAAGTTCTTAGAATTTCTCGCCAGAAGCTCTCTGAACTGAAGTTTTTAGAACTTCTCCCCGGAATTTATCTGAACTTCTCTTCGGAAGTTGCTCGGAAGTTCTATAAACTTCTTGTCAGATATTCTCTGAACATGTCATCGGAAGTTTTCTGAACTTTTCGTCAATAGTTTTATGAACACTTCTCAGAACTTCTTATTAGAAGTTTTCTGAATTTCACGTCGAAAGTTCTCTGAATCCTTGTCGGCTGTTCTCATTGGAAGATTCCTGAATATCTCGTCGGAAGTTCTTTGAAGTTGTCCTCGGAATTCCTTCGAGCTTCTCGTTAGAAGTTCTCTAAGTTATCGGATGTTCTCTGAACTTCTCCTCTTCCGAGAATTTCACGGAATTTCCAACAAGTTCATTGATTTTCTGATAAGTTCTCGGAACTTCCGACAAGCAAAATAATCTTCAGAGCAGTTCATGAAAGTTCACAAAACTTGAGAGAAGCTCAAGGAACTTCAAAGACGCTCACAGATCTCCAAAGAAGCTCACGGTTTTTCAGAGACGATAATGAAATTTCAGTGAAGCTCAGGTATTTTCAGATAAGTTCACAGAACTTTAGAGATTTTCAAGGGACTTCAGAGAATCTCGAGACAGATCTGTCTAGACGATCACGAATTTCCCGGAAGAGCATGGAACTTTCGCCAAATTTTGTTCGAGAACCCCAAAACATTTTTTTTAAAGTTTCAAGTGAACATCTGGGAACTTGAAAAGGAACTTGTGGGCAGTACCAAGGAAATTTCTTTGAAGTTCCTCGTTAATTTCTGGGAAGCTTTCACCAGTTTTCTCAGAAATTGTTGAAATTTTTCTGCAGTTCGCTGAAGATCTCTCGAAACTTCACTGAAGTATCCTCGCAACGCCTCTGAATTCCTCTCGGATTTCTATTCAGTTCCCTTACAATTTTCCTAAAGCTGTAAGAGAAATTGCTTCCGGAACTTATATTTAGTCCACCCG